CACGTTTACACACGCGCGATTTTAAGCAGCGATGCAAACGCGATGCAAGCGCGCGACTGCATCGATATAAACGCGCGACAGCATCGCTACTAAAAGTCGCCGTGTGTAATGACCGTACAAGTTAGTATTTTTGTATTTTCTACCAGCCTTCAAATGGAGTATTTAGGCTTACTTGTTGTATGAACAATATATTAATTAGATAATATGTCGTTTTACCGTTAGTCTTCCAGAAAGGTGAAAATCAAAATATTTGTTTTTGTGATACCAAGTGACGGAACGAACAAGTCGTGCGCCTATAGGTAAGCGACACGCCTGTCCATAACAGTTACAGTGCCACTCAGAGCTTTAAATCGCAAAGATCTGAGGGGTATTGCCACTGCTCCCGTATCCTAACCCTTCTAAACCGGAGCGCAGAAATGCGAACATTACTGCTTAGTAGCAGAAATAGGTAAAGTAGCAATACTTCCCTAGACGAACTCTTTCACAACGAGCTCTACTGCTGTTAAATATGAGAGCAAGTGACGGAACAAACAAGTCGTACGCCTGATCGATGATATGCGTTACGCCTACTTTATAGCAGGTACTCGTATAATGGCAATTGAAACGGGCTTTTAACGCAGAAATAACGCTAATTGTCTACTGATTGAATGTCGCCAAGGAATCGGCAGTCAATTGATTTCTATAAAAAAATATGCTGAGTAAAATCTAAAAAAAATCTCCCGAATTCTGTACTATTGAGTAGCAAAGATTTTTCCGGTCTAAAAATCGATTACAGATGTAACTGTAAAACTCGATGGCACTTGTCGATAAGTTGAGTTCGTCGACCCAACGTTGGATTGGTACGATCCGTATCTCAATGCTCCAATGTCAAGATCGTGGACGACAGGTTCAAACACCTGTCACCATGAATCGATAAAAAAAAAATTGAAATCACGAATTATCCAATAAGAAGGCGGTTTTCTAAACAGTAGCCTAAACGTGGACGAGCAGAGGACACAGTAAAAAGCGAAGAGGTTTTTCGTACCGTGAACCAATTTATTTGATGATTTTATTACAATTATTAATACAAAGATCGAACACTAAGAAAAATTCCTTCGATCCAGATGTTTTGGATGAATGAACCATATCAGCATATCAGGTATGAAAACATTGTGATATTCAATAACTACATGTGATAATTTTATTACCTATGGATAATTTAAAAAGTATGATTTTTATCCGACTCTATAACAATACATGGGGTTACATGGGAGCTAATTTTGACTGCATTTAGTTTACTAAAATCGCTATGTATGTTTCAAAATTCAAACTTTCCTGCAATATGCGAAATTTTACGAAATGCTGATATATTTAATTAAATTTCAGTTTTTTTTCTAATGAGATGTAGTATATAATAATAATAGTTTGTATGTATGTTTAAGACACATGTTTTAAACAGGAAACACTATCGTTGTTTTTGAATCTCGTTCGTCGGCCTTCATTGCCGCTATCGCTACCGCTCAAGCACCGCGCGCAGTCCTGGCGTACCAACGCGTCCGCGCTTCTGGACGCCTTTGCGTGACCGTGTCCATTACAAGATCTCTTTATTGATTATTACCAGAGAGATTCCAATCGTAAACACTTGCCATCTCTTACGCTCTAAAATTATCCACAAACCCAAACAAAAAATCAACACAGATCTCGCAAAAAGATAAACTGCTAAGTAGGTTACATAGATAAATAATAGAACAGCAGTGTTACACGTGTCTTCAGAAGCGGTTTCAAGTTATCCGCTTGTAGAGACAGTTGTTGTTGATGAGGTTTTCATAGTTCGCAGCAAAAAATGTCGTTATTACAAATTTGTACGGTATACATTGCAAGACTAGTTTAAGTGTTAGGTTATGCAGTATATGTACGGTTGCAAGCAGAGATTGGCAAGCGCCTGGGTTTTAACCCGGCGAAAATCGAGGGCAGAAACTATTTACAACTAAATTTGTGGATGGAATTTTGTTCAAATTGAATGATATTATTACAAAAGTTAATTGCTTTCTTATTTAGACGTTTCGGTTTGCCTTTCTATAGATCGATTTACTTGAAAATCGCATTGAAATAAAATATCGAGTCGTCATGTGCACATTATTGCAAGGTGGGTGTTGTGTGGAGTAGCTTTTTTATCTATAAAAAACTTATCGAGTTTTTAGGTATTTGCGATTATTACACATAGGAAATGAAACTATTTTTCCGGATTTAAATCGAATATATTTGTTTTTTTTTTGAAACCTTGGAACATATATAGCGATTGTAGCGTATTAAATTGCAGTCAAAATCGGCTTACATGTAACCCCATGTATTGTCATAGATTCGGATAAAAATGATACTATTTAAATTATCCATAGGTAATAAAATTATCATATGTAGTTTATTGAATATCACAATGTTTTTATACCTGATATGCTGAAGACGCTGGTTTATCCATCCAATTCAGCTGGATCGAAGGAATTTTTCTTTGTTCGATCTTTGTATTAATATTTGTCACCTCAGTCAACTGTAACTATGGGACTTGTAAAAGACCCGAAACGTCGGTTTGTTTGAAACAATAAATATACGCGATTTAAATCAGGAAAAATAGTTTCATTTTCAACTCACCGCTCATTTTTGGTTGCAAATTGTAACGTATACACACACGTACGTTACAAGTTACCATTCATTCGCATCACAATTGAGTATTTAAGCAATCATATTATAGAAACTGTACGTATTATATGTTAGAGGTATTATAATGTTAGTTATGGTTGAACAGTTGTTGAGATATCCGCATGTATAATGTTAGCGGTGCGGGCGGCGCAGCGGAAGCCACAACTGCAGCCCTTTCCGGTCGTGGTCACCTAACTGGACTCAGTACTGTTTAGATAATTCACCTATTGATTGCGTTGATTTGCGTGGGATTCTACCTAGATTGTCGGGTCTATTCTACTGGAACATCAGACTTGAAACTATTTTGTTAAAATAAAACTGTCGAGTCCATCTTGTTTTCTAATTGCAACTTAGTTTATACATTCCTTTTTTTATAACGCCAGGTGATACGACGAACAAGTCATGGACTTGGTGGTAAGCGACACGCCTGTCCATAATAGTAGCAGTGCCACTCAGAGATTTAAAATGCAAAGATCGGAGGGGCACTGCCACTGCGCCCATCGCCCTGAGACATAAGTGGACCAGTCTCAAAATGTGTGGGTTGTACCAAGCATTGTATTTGTAGAGCAGTTTTGGACTCTACGAATCACTGAATGGATGAAGTAAAGGACGTGCCTTCGCCAGGACCGGAGGCAGTACTCCAGAAACTAAACAAAAATCAGCTGGTGGCAGTGCCTACAGCGAGAGGGCCGTAACAGCCCATTATTCTGCGGGACGGACGCGAGGCGGCATACTAACTGCGGGCAGACGTGAGCGAACTTGAACTTTGCGCTATTGATCACTATAACAAGGATTTGAACAAATTCCCACCCGCGAATCAAAGTCTAATTCAGTTCTTGTCTATTTTTGTCTATTTTATTTCGAAATTATCTAATATGTTTCAAAATAGGCTTTTAATCGGTAAATGAAGTTTTGTTTTGTTTCAGAAGACAAACACGAAAATCAAAAGTTCAAACTTATACAATGCTAGATTCTTATTGGAAGTTTTGCTCAAGTATCATTGCAATCGTGGTCCCAAATATGATTATTTCTATAGATTTTCGTAACGCAACTGTATTGATAATTTGCCTTATGCCTAGGAGTTGGTTGTAATGTTTCGGAACGGTACCATATAGAAGTTTATTTCTGATATCAATAGAGGAAATTCAGTCAGTTCAGTGTTTTCACATATATGTCGGTGGTTTTAGCTAGAATCAACAGCGAAACCAGCAGACAGCTTGTCATTCGATATAACTGGTTATGCTCAAGGTGCGTACCCGACCACGCCCATTGCTCGTACGTTCATTCACCGAACGCATCCGTTTTAATATTCAACGACCAGCTAAACACGCAATGTTAACCTATTAACGGTCCCCAAAGTAATAATTAAAAACCATTACGCGAATCGGGAATGAAACCGCAACACGCCGCATCTCCTCAACTGGCGCGCATCCAAACCTACAACTCACTTATTATATTCTATGAGCGCAGGCTATAAACGTATTCCTGAACATATCACGTAGACGACTACTACCAATTTCAACCAATCAGAACGCGACAATTCAACTTAATAGGCTAGGCCACGCCCAATCACGTAACCGCCTATTACGGGCCATGTAACGACGCAGGCTTTTAACTTCGCGATGACGTCCGATCGATCCGCGTCCTTGTCGTCTCTAGAGCGCTGTCCCTTTCTAATTTCCGAATTGATGGTGTACGGGGTGTCTAGGCTGAGTGTGATAGAGTCGCGTTTGGCGCGCGTGCTTGGTTTCAGTTGCACGTCCGAGGTTGAAGGAGGGGGACGCGTGCAACTGTTTTCGATAATCGGCCGCGCGTTCCGTACGTGAAAAGCGGACAGTATCCCGCCAGTCACGTCCACGTAAAAACGGATATATGCCCAGAATATTTATTAAGTGGGTGGCTGTGCGTGACTTTTCCCCTGTGAATAGCTAGCCCCGTAAATGATCACCCACGAAAATAGAACGGGCGTTTGTTTGCTAACTGAAAACCTCTCTGACCGCTTAAAACATCGCTGTTCGCCATTAAAGTTCCGGGACTTGTGATTTTTGGTAATATCTTTTTTGTACTGGACAGACTTTTTCCAAACATTTCTGTAAATAAAATTAAACGAGGACTAGACAAAAATTAATAGGCATCCCGAACTGTAGCAGTGCAAGTGACGCAAAAAAATAATTATGGAACTTTTTTGACCACTACGAACTTAAGCAGTGCGTTTGAACACTCGACGACATTCGAGATGGTGTGTGAAGGAGCACGAAAATATTTTGGCGGAACTGCAGACTTGGACTAAGTAGATATTGTACGGTCTATTGGGTGCATAAGTGAGAATGTTGCCGTACCAAGCGGTGGCAATGGACTACGCGGTGGCCTCGGCTGGGTTCCACCACCACCAGCGGCCCGGCGGACTGCCTGGAGTGATGGGACTGCCGGGCCCGGGGCCGGGGCTCAATCCTGGCCTCAACCCGGCCTTCACCCATTCCTGGTTCGTACAGACAAGCCCGGATATCTGTCGGCAGCAACAAGCATCCAACCAATCGCATCTCGAACCTGGGCACGTTTCATTTTTTCTTTTTATATTTTTTATTTTAGTTATTGTTTTCCGAAAATGTTATGGCTTGTCGATGTTGCTTGTAAAAAGTATTTCACCTCTATTTTATAATCCACACAATATTTTTTAAGCTAATACTATTTATTCTTGAACGAAGTATACTATTTGTTACTTTGTTAAAGAATCAACACGACAAGTCAACAAGTCATTAATTTATAGACCTTATAGATAATTGCATTAGATTTGTTTGCAGTTACTTCGTTATTTTGCTTGTTTATGTTTAGGAGCTTTTAGATTCAATATTGAACTTTAATGTTGTATCGATGTCAATTATGTGTATTTTTTTAACAATATGCTGTTATTTGTTTCTGCAAGTTTATTTAGGTAAGGTTTGTTTAACAAGCTATCTAAAAACAATCACGTCCTGCCAATTAACTCGACTTTGAAAAGGTAAAACGTCTAATGTGCATTTGGAAAATATTACAGGAGATTTAAGGTATTTCTTTTAATAGAAAAATAAAAAACTCAAATTTTATTTGTTATAAAATTTAAATAAAATTTAAGTAATTATTTATTTTCTTAAAAAAATTACTTTAAATCGCTCTCCTGTATATTTCCCAAATGCACGTTAGACGTTTTACTTTTGCAGAATCGAACTCATTCTGTAGGTAGCCATAGCTAGTGATAGCTAGCCCACATAATAAACTTGTCAGAGCCAAGTTTAGAATTGAAAATAAAATCAAAATCGGTCCACAATTGATGGATAAATCGGAAAAAATACATGCAGCCAAACGTATAATCTCCTGTTTTTTTAAGTCGATTAAAAAGTAAAATTAATGTAACAAATCCAGACTCTCCTATATTAAAAGAACCGTAATGGAACAATTGTTAAAATAAAGAACTACATGCAAGAAAATAATAAAGGCATACTTAACAAAGTTAATAATAATAACAACGAATAACAAGACAATAAAGTGTATAAACGTCCAAACGCTAAGCAAAATTATGTCTAAATTTCTTGATCCCTATCTCAATGACATGGTGGTACTGGTTTAACGCGATTATTTTGTACTAGCTGTAAAGTCACCACGATTAACGCTAGAAATTTAGGGAAGCAATATTTTTTTATAGCTGCTTAACCAAATAAAAAAAAAATTAAGTCGTATAGATATTTAGTATAAACAAACGTCGATAAAAATATTTTGTTATTCGGAACCGTGAAACGTAAGACTGTGTTTAGAAAATATGCATCAAATCTATGTGGTAAAGTAACTCTACGTACCATATCCCTGCTTATGGCAATATATTATCATATCTACATAATATGATAAGTAGAGCTCCTTGTGAAAGAGTTCGTCAAGGGAAATTCTTCTACCGTACATATTTCTGCCACCTAGCTGTATTATTCACATTACTGTGTTTCGGTTTGAAGGGTAAGGATGCTAGTGAAATTATAGGCACATGGGTCTTGTCAACTTACGTCTCAGAGTGACGGACGTAGTAATGGTGTCCACCAGATCTTTGTGATTTTAAGCTCTGAGTGGAACTGTCGTGGATAGGTGTCGCTTACCACCAGACGTACTAGTTCGTCATGTGATATCATAAAAAAATGTTTTGCTCTATCTAAAGTATTTAAATCATTATGTTATTAGTAGGAATCTACACTTAGAAAATAATTAGCGTTTTTTAATATATAATTCTAAGTTTTAGACAAATAAATCAAACTCACATCTCAATTAACATTTCACATATAACTCATTTTGTAGGTAGCCATAGCTAGTGACAGCTAGCCCACATAATGAGTTGTTAGAGCCAAGATTAGAATAGAAAAAAAAAATCAAAGTCGGTCTACAATTGACGGAGAAATCGGAAAGCATACATACAGCCGAACGTATAACCTCCTGTTTATTTAAGTCGATTAAAATGTAAAATTAATGTAACAAGAAAGAGGAAAATTCTGCTACCGTACCTATTTCTGCCGCCTAGCAGTAATACTCACATTACTGTGTTCGGGTAAGCGTGCAGGGGAAATTACTGGCACATGGGACTTATCTACTTATGTCTCAGGGTAACGAGCACAGTGGCAGTGTCCCTCAGATCGTTGTGATTTTAAGCTCTGAGTGGAGCTGCAACTACTATGGAAAGGCGTGCCGCTAACCACCAGGCGCTCCACTTGTTCGTCCTGTCACTTGATACCATAAAAAAAAGAATATGTAACTTATTCTTTGTAGGAAAGTTGGTTTCTTTCCAATTATCAATATTACATAATATCATAAAAATGTAGTGAATACGTAGAAAATTTGAAACAATACCTACAACTACGTTGACTAAGTCTAAAAATGAATTCACAAGCGACTCATGCGCACAATACGAGAACCATATCAAAAAAGACGCGTGGTCGGAGCAAGTTACGTATACAAATTAAGATGGTTATCATTTCGTGACAGTTGAAGTGAAGCCACGGTACAATATACAAAATGTTGGATTATTTTCACATTTTATTTAAATTATATTGTGTTTCAAAAAACTTTGCCTAGCGTTTCTAATTGCTCAACTGTAATTCTGCAAATACGTAAAATGGCTTGTATAACAAAATCTTTAGAAATACTATAATTTAAATGTTACAATGATATTATTATATATAGCACGATTCTTATTATTTTTTTTATAGCACGATTCTTATTTTTTTTTATTTTGTAAATTAATACAATTCGATTGTAAAATTATAGGAAGAGTAACGAGTAACTAATTGGCGTGTGTATTTAGGACAAATTTTACACCAGAATTTAGTATTATAATGATTATTTCCAAAAGGAACAATTTAATTTGTAGGCGGAAACAAATTTGTATCTCGTTGAAGAATATGAAGCGACGAATATTGTCATTCGACTTTTATCGCTACAAAGATCAAGTTCACCTTCGTAATTTGCCGTTTTCCCAGAAACATTTTGACTTATTTGCCTTAATGAGACTTTGTTGGTTTTAATATAACAAGAGTCCCAAAGTTCGCATATTTAGAAGTCAAATGTTAATTGGGATGAGAGTTTGATTTATTTGTCTGATAGTATTATCCTATCCTAGCAGTATATAATAAAAACGCTAATTATTTTCTAAGTATAGATTTAATTGGTAAGCGACACGTCTATCCATGATAGTTGTAGTGCCACTCCGATCTTTCAATCGCAAAGATCATAATCAGCATCGCTACTGCGCCCGTCACTCAGAGATATAAGTTGACAAGTCCCATGTGCTTATAATTTCCAGCATCCTTACCCTTCAAAACTGGGCCAAATGAAATGAACTGACGGCAGATATGGGTACGGTGGCAGTACTACCACGAACGATCTTTCACAAGAAACTCCGTACCGGCACTCTATGATGGCTGTTTTGACAGATTACAATAGTGAAGTCAAATCTCAATTGATCTATAAGTTTTTAGATTTATAAGTAGTATTGCAAGGGGTAGCTGATTAAAGAATTTTAATAAAACGAAAATAAAAATGTTTATTTAATATATCGTCAAGTCGGAACTGCTTTGTTTTGCATTGAGCTTTGACGAGAGTGCTGGACAGCGATCCCATAAGTGACGATCGTGTAGATTCATTTTTTTAATGTCGACTTTCGGTAAATCAATGACTAGTTGTGTCGTAAAATTATACATCCATAAATTTTTATTGCACGTTACTATTGACAACAATGTACGCCAATTAGCTCCTTCAACGTAGTTATGAATTATTACGAAACTTGATGAGCGGACAAACGTCAAAACGGCCATCATAGCGTGCCGATACTTTAAAAACGACATAATTGCATTGAGCTAAATAAATTACTTACTTACTCCGTTGGCTCATCGACCTGAAGTGGGTCTTATCTAAAAAAATGACTTAGATCTTTAATTTCTGACGCCAAGGAGTCTAGTGTAAGAACAGTCTGTATCATCTTTACTACAATTAGGCCTGTGTAAAAATCTAACATTACACCGGTTGTAGACGTAACTGGCCGGTTTCATAGGCGGCTGTTTGCCACACAGCGACCAAGTGCCCATAAACTTGAAATGTACGCAACCGCCGCCGACGGTAACAAGTAAAGCCTTGAATGGAGAATGAACCATCTTTGTCAAAGATTTGAAGTTTGAACTTTAAGTGGTGAGCTCTAGAATCATAGAATTTGCGAGATAAGACGCATGAAGTTAGTCAATGTGGTGTATAACTAGTTTATACATATGTGTGCACTTACTGTAGAACAGTGAAATTAAATATCAGTATAATAGTACGGGGTACCCCATTTCGCTATATAATATCATCAATCTCAAAAAAAAAATAAAAACAACTACGGAATTTACAGTGCGATTACCAAATGCTTTCTGTGTAGTTGCCGCCTACTGTTTCTCCATAGAGAAGTATTAACAATACACTAACAGATTCGAATGATTTATATTCAAAATTTTACATTAAATCAGTATCATCGAGCATAATGAAATATACTCGATGATCAATATAAACATTGCGGCGAGAATAGTAAATAGTGACATTTTTGTGCACGGTACTTTTTAAGCACAGACTGTCCATGAACGGATTAAATGAAAAAACAACTTTTCGAACTTTTATATATTTTTTTATGATATCAAGTCACAAGACGAACAAATCGTGTACCTGCGGGTAAGCTACGCGCCTGTCGATAGCAGTTGCAGTGCCACTCAGAGCTTTAAATTCCAAAGATCTGAGAGGGCACTGTCACTGCGTCCGTCACCCTGAGACATAAGTTGAGAAGTCCCTTTGTGCTTGTAATTTCACGAGCACTATTACCCTTCAAAACCGGAACACAGTAATACTGACATTACTGCTTCACGTCAGAGATAGGTAAGGTGGCAGTTCTCCCTGGACGAACTCTTTCATAAGGAACTCTACAGCAGTAGATCAGTAGCAACTGACGTAACTTTTTCAAACCCATTGTGATAAATTAATTTTTTGCCCTTCTTAACGGTGAAATAAAAACTGGCTTTT